GTTTTGACTCCGCATTATACTCCCTAAAACGTCCCGAAAGCTAGTTTCTGTATCATCCGAGTGTTTTCAAACAAGGTTACCCTCTTCGGTTGATTGACTAAGCTAAGAGATTTATAGATAGACCTCAAAAACTGGTGAAGTTCGGAGATCAAAACTTAACAAAATGAGGAGCATATCTATCATGGTAGGTCTTGGGTGGAACGTCTGACTACCACTGCAGATCTACTGATTGTCCAGGTACTTACAAACGCTACAAAATTAATCAATCAATCATCCTACAAAACAACTAAGCCTGGCGCGCTTGGTCACAATTAAATGAGTCACACGCTGCATCGTTAAACCACATCCCATAAATATAACCGGTATTCCATAGGCTTAGTAACAATCGGGTATAATGTGACTAATACGGACGGGCTACGTTAACCACTGCCGCATTGGTCCACCTATTGTCACCACATTCGGTCGGAATTCTGAAGAATTCTGATAGGGAGCGGTCGGACGTTACTGTGTGGCTTCTGTGGACTAAAAAGCGGAAGCGCGAGGCGCTTGGAGTAACTGATGGGACCAATCCTATAATTTCAAAGTGCCGACGAGGTTCGCACCATACTACTTTCATCACAGTCATCTGGAACCATTTTATACACAGTTGCGAGCACAGCCTTAAAATTCACGTCAGTCATTGTCACAGCGCACGTTCAGTGCTCAATATGGAGTAACAAAGGGTATCAAGGACACAAGTATGGTTTCATTCCCAACTTAAATATGGCAATCCGGTGGACAAGTCAGCCGTTTACTCGTAGCTGGTAATTAAATGTCTTCCGTACATTGATTTATTTATAAGACAGTCGCAAATATCCAACTGATTCATTCGTTTCCTCTGGCCGATGTAAACCTTAAAAATAGAATTAAGTTCGACGGTGCACTCTATCAGTCTTTCAGATGCCAAACCATGTTTAAGTGGTTTTACCAGAAGGTATTGCACCGTCCTTATGGTCTTCGTCTTTTTTCTCTGCCCATGGAGACATTTGGTTATCTTTAGGAAATGTGGCGTTCTTAATGCTTCGCTTACATACGTTCAGAGAACAAGTCACAGAACTCTGAGAAGCTTCTGGGTCAGACAGCTTTTCTGGAATATTCGCATTTCGGGAGACGGCCGTACGGTTGTTTATCGGGCCAGCTGATCCCGTCCTATCAATAAAAACCGAAATGCTGAGAAAAACTGATTAGCCGACTGGGTTGGCTGTAGTGGATCTTATTTGATTCAATCACAACACACATTCCCGATTGATCAGTCAAGTCAGCTTGATAGTTTACGAAAAACTGATTTGTTGTATTCGCCGTAATCTTGTTGTGCTTTTTTCACTTGAATCACGTCTAGGTGGAGGTTTTGTGAATCAGCTTCAGTCGGATTAACAAAACAAACAACAAATTACATTCAGGTCAATAAATGAGAATTACTGTTTTCTAAACTTTGTAATCATTAACTCCCAGCCCAATCCATAGATAGATAGATAGATAGATAGATAGATAGATAGATAGATAGATAGATAGATAGATAGATAGATAGATAGATAGATAGATAGATAGATAGATAGATAGATAGATAGATAGATAGATAGATAGATAGATAGATAGATAGATAGATAGATAGATAGATAGATAGATAGATAGATAGATAGATAGATAGATAGATAGATAGATAGATAGATAGATAGATAGATAGATAGATAGATAGATAGATAGATAGATAGATAGATAGATAGATAGATAGATAGATAGATAGATAGATAGATAGATAGATAGATAGATAGATAGATAGATAGATAGATAGATAGATAGATAGATAGATAGATAGATAGATAGATAGATAGATAGATAGATAGATAGATAGATAGATAGATAGATAGATAGATAGATAGATAGATAGATAGATAGATAGATAGATAGATAGATAGATAGATAGATAGATAGATAGATAGATAGATAGATAGATAGATAGATAGATAGATAGATAGATAGATAGATAGATAGATAGATAGATAGATAGATAGATAGATAGATAGATAGATAGATAGATAGATAGATAGATAGATAGATAGATAGATAGATAGATAGATAGATAGATAGATAGATAGATAGATAGATAGATAGATAGATAGATAGATAGATAGATAGATAGATAGATAGATAGATAGATAGATAGATAGATAGATAGATAGATAGATAGATAGATAGATAGATAGATAGATAGATAGATAGATAGATAGATAGATAGATAGATAGATAGATAGATAGATAGATAGATAGATAGATAGATAGATAGATAGATAGATAGATAGATAGATAGATAGATAGATAGATAGATAGATAGATAGATAGATAGATAGATAGATAGATAGATAGATAGATAGATAGATAGATAGATAGATAGATAGATAGATAGATAGATAGATAGATAGATAGATAGATAGATAGATAGATAGATAGATAGATAGATAGATAGATAGATAGATAGATAGATAGATAGATAGATAGATAGATAGATAGATAGATAGATAGATAGATAGATAGATAGATAGATAGATAGATAGATAGATAGATAGATAGATAGATAGATAGATAGATAGATAGATAGATAGATAGATAGATAGATAGACCGATAGACCGATAGACAGACAGACAGTCAGAGAGATAGATAGATATACAGATTGATGGAGAAACTACTTTGTTTTGTGAACTTCAACTATGGAGCATTCATCTTTTTCAGTCGATTGTGGCCTGTGAAATTCAAGAGGCTTTCAGAAATGCCGTGGCCTGATTCAACCTGAATGTGCGAAGCTGTCCCAACCCCCGACTGATTAATCTCACTAACTTACCGGTGCAGGTACATTCGTTCCTCGAAGCAGCCTTCACTTCAGCATGAGCATCACAGCGGGTGTCACTAACGAAGATGTTTTCGCTCTACCCCTTTATTCCTCACAAAGCCGTTCTCGATAAACTGAATCAGACACAACCGCTAGGGATGAGGTTGCCATCGATCGTTTTTCAGACTTTTCTTAAGCACTGCGTTTGGTTCCACTTCCACCGTTAGGCCACTTTGCATGAGGTCGAGAAGTCAGCTACTGGTGGGCCAAAGGTTGGAACCGCTCGAGATGTCATCGTTCTGGAGGGTTTTGTCAACAAGCTGTCGGATTATTTTGCGGTAACACCTCTGTTTTTGAGCGAAAAAGCTTCTTCAAGATAGGTGGTTAGATTATCATACTGACAGTTCAAATTCAGTCGGAGAGACAGTCATCAACATCGCCTTTGGCGGATGCACGAAAACTGATAAACTGGTCTTTGAACTGACTTTTGAGATTCACCAATTAGCGTGGTTGTATCAATCCGGTTCATTTATGATCGTGCTTAAATCATTTCGGTTCCAATAAAATCGGGATACAGTAAGGTTTTTATCATTTCTGAACAAAAGATGCGTCCATTCTTCAGTGAAACTCTGGTAAATCAAGCTATCATGTCCGAATCGTTCCAATAAAATCGGGATACAGTAAGGTTATTATCATTTCTGAACAAAAGATGCGTCCGTTCTTCAGTGAAACTCTGATAAATCAAGCTATCATGTCCGAATTACCCGTTTTACGAAAAGGTGAGTGAAGCGGTAAATTTGTGTGATATTGAGGACTAACGATGCATTGCCTCAATCATATCTCTTTTCTGATCGATGAATTGGCCCAATACCAATTAACCGTCTGATTCTTCTTCAGTTACAAGATTATATTTTAGTGCATAAGTCTGCATTCATTGTCTCAGTTCTACTTGCTTATCGGCACTTGTGGCTCATGTCTCCCGCTTTTGGGAAGAAAATGCTGGAATGTCACTAAGCGCGCACTCTCGGGCTGTAAGGTTTAACTCGTGTTTAACTAGTCAGCTTGATTCTTCGGCACAGTGGGAAAATCGATGAGCCTCTAATGGTTAGATCCTTCCTTCTCCCGTGAACTCTGAATACCATTTTTATCATCGGGTTGTTCGTCTAGGACACCTTTAAGGAAAAACCAACCAACTGGGTTTAGGCCCCATGTTTAAATACAATAATTTCGTGGAGTGCGTGACTATTATCGCAGAAAAGATAGAAACAAAGTTCGAGAGTAAGTGGTTGCATCGGCGGTGCTGAGTCTTCACCGTTCTTCTGAGTGCTCGGGTCTGACAAAAGTTGCAGATGATGTTTGTATTAACCCGAAAGTGCATGTGTAGCCATCGTTTGATGACACGAATTTTCCACATATATGTATGTCATTATTTCGTTTTGTAACATATTCGTTTCCCTTGTGTCTTGCTTGGGGTTCTTCCAACCATCAGCCATCCTCCAGTGACTGAAGCTTATTAATTTTTCAGGGTGAGTTGTGTGAGTCTGTGAGAACCCGGTATGTTCAGAAGGATTCTCGTTTCAGCGCACTCGAGCTACTTCGACACTGTCAAGATCCTCGTTTGCACCTACTGCTCCTAGTACTCATAAAACGGGGCCGTAGGTATAACTGCAAGTGATCCTTCTACCACACAAGATCTAGCAGGTAGTCAAACTTAGGGATGGATAATAAACAGTAACAGACGCTTAGGTATCCATATAGAGCTGCTAATTTTAAGACAGTAAACTTGCTAGGTTGTCAAATTTTTGTATTGAATTAGGGGTACGGACTCTTTTTCATGAAGTTCGTTCAACGCACCCTGTAACCTGCATACTGCTTGTGATTGAAAGAAAAGAACTCGTCATATGTGTATAAAACATGGTAAATTTAGTGCCAGAGAATATGCTCTCAGGTGGTTGTACTGTAAGATTTGCAGTACACCTTTTTACAGTTACCGACAACTTCAAAGTACAACATACGATGCAGATTACCGGAGAATTACACTTATTACCATAATAAGTTGCTGCGCCATTGGTTGCAAAGTCGTACGTCTGACACTAAAGAAATGTATCTTTAATTCGTCAAATTCACTTTGGGATTATCGAGGCCTCATTGTTACACACAAAATAATTGCACCGATGAACAATATACACATCGTTGGGACAACGCTCACTAGAATAGCGAGTCGCATTTTTGCTGTTTTCAGCTGATCCATTGTATCCAATGTCTCTGACCTTTGGTTGCTGTGCGGGAACGGTACGTCTGGTGTGGGTAGTTGTAAAAACTCACACAAAGGGGCCCATCCTTGTTCCACTTGGAAAATAAGCAGCCTTTCGGACGGAACTGTTTCAATCACATCGTCCATCCACCTCTCGAAGGCGTCCAACATTTTCTTATCACTGGATTGCCTTGTCTTCTTCCCGTACACATATTTTGTCGATCGGTGCATCATGAGCCCAAAACCTTTGACAGATACAAACCTTTCCAGGATGCGACTTAGTAGCCCTTTGCTAAGAAGTCGCCGACTCGGTAGAACAGTTTCTCGCATACTTTCCAGCCACTGCAAGCTCGGTCGAGTCGTTATGATGACCTATAAAAGTAAAGGACAATCCAAAAATATGCGCGTTTTTGGCCTTAGCAATTAGAATAGTGCTGTTAGGAAGGAAACATACGATTGGACAAGCAATTATTAGTAGTGGGAACATTGCAAAATGACGAACATTGATTTTTTTAGATCTGGTCACCAGCGGACAAACTAATGGTGATGATTAAAGTGAGCGATCAATATCGGTTCAGTGATTAAACTAAACGAGGAAACACGTAAACAATCAGGGAATAGAAATATAATTTCCGCTCTACTTGGACAGGGAGTGGTCTAAGGATCTGGTAAGTGAATATGTCTGACTACGTGTCACATGACCAAATCCACCATTGTCGATACACCTATGCATGCTCGCTTCATTATTTTCCACGAGGACCATGGACAGCCATGGAGACAAACATATAGGATACTGGACACCAAAACCTCAAATATTCACCACAAGGAATACAAAAACCAGGACATTAGGCAAAAAATCTATTTGTGTCCCACAGTTGTGAGGGTCATGACAGAATGGTAGATATAGAACTAAGTTCATGAAAGAGACAGTAATCAGCTGCGCTTATCCGGAATCCATTTGTTTTAACTACAAGCAGCAGTTTAAGACTGGCATATAAGTGCGCTTAATAAGATGAAACATAGTTCTGTTAGCTGTGACTATAAAATGGGGCCGCTTTTGTTCGGATGGTGCATACAAGATGTCATTATCATCAGTGAGATCAGGTAACATTAAATGTTCAGATTAAAGCAGGATTTCTGGTCTTCTGTCAACTGGAGATACGACATTTGGAAGAAACCACATTATACGAGAGACTGATTTTGTTCTGTTTTCTGAGCTGGTTCCTCCAGACGCTGTATTTTTTGTGAGTAAAAGTGCAGTGTCTTGAATAGATACCAATGGAAACTGTGGGTACTGAGCTACAACAATTGAACAGACGACAGTAAAACTTGAGGTTTCGTTTGAATACCGTCGTTCAGAATGATACTGATATTTCGCACTGATAGGTATGCAACCTGTCGTTCTCTGAGAAAAGATCTCCGGGGCTGTCAAACGGTCTCCCCTTTGCGTCTTCTTCTGCGGGTATGAGTAAGTGTGGTATTCGTACAAGATGGCGAATCACAAAAAGAAGTGTTATGAATTAAAATAAATTCCGTGCCAAAAACTCAGGCATTCTAATAGGTCATCTTTGAAGTGAGTTCGAAGGAGCTGGAAGGGTCTAGGCGCTGGAAGTTGTTGGACTACTAAAAATGCACTTCACTTCTTCCAGTTAGCTGTCCCATGATTTTCTTGCAGCATTATTGAACCAATTCAACGTAATGTGGCGAATTGGGCTGTTATTTTGCTCACAGAGTATACTAACTATAGTTTGTTGAAGACCTACTTCACCTTACAAGGGCAACTCGAGCATGAGAAACCGCATGTGACACAACTCAGTGCCAAAGTCAGCACGGAGTTTGCAGTGGTGAAACACACTCATGACATCCCCATCAATCGTAGCACAAACCACAGTATGTCGACCAATCGCTGACTGGCTACATCTGTAGTTTCTATATCAATCCCATCTTCCTTGATAAAGGCCAGCCACACTGGCCAAAACGTCGGACAGTTTTGTGATATAACAGCTGTGTAGTCACCACGATTTTCACGCACGCACCCTACTTGGTGATTATCTGTGCACTGTAAACCAGTTTTATTTGCTTCCGTCTCAATAGTCAGCTAAAGCAGTTTAGACTAAAACGGTTTGCAATCAAACCATCCTGTTGCTTTTTGGCGAACAAGACTTTGAGGGCCTAGGGAGTGTGGCTCTCGACGTTACTCAGCAATGGGAGCAGCAGCTTCCAGATGCTTGTACAAAGAATCAAATATGTGAGCATGAATGCCTGCTGAAACTCCGTCGTTTTCTTCTAGCTCCCAAGGGTGCTGTCTAATGTCAACTATATTTACTTGGGCAATCAATTGTTCTATCTTCCGTATAGTAAAAATTAAAGGAAAACCTAAGCCCAGCATGTAGCGGATAGACTGCAGGCAAGCTAAGTCGGTGTGACATTGTCCAAAATGAATCTCTCTAAATCGAACGTAAATTTCGATCTAATCATTTGAATTCTGGTGTCAGATGCAAACCTCAGCATCTGAAGGTGACAACAACCAAAAGACCTCGTTTCTAATTCTGAGGATCTGAAGACCCGGGCTATACGATACATCACTATGAATCTACGTGCTTTTTGTTAGAATTTCGAGTTACTCCTTGTTCCATTGTCAACCCTTAAACAAGCGTTGGGGCTGAAATGTGGGAGCCTGGTTTTTGAATACTTGACTCGGAATATGGAATGTATAGATCACTGCTTCTCATCAAAGCGGGACTGTCCACAGAGTGAATTCAAGGAAGAAAGGAAACTGAGGCATTATCGACTACGGCCCCGTTTCACTTTGCTTTTGAACCATCCAACAGTCATTTTATAGATGGTGAACAAGAGTGGGTGAATTTCCCGTATAGAAGTAAAATTTTTGGGTCAAACGACTTCGGAGTTGTCCCAGCTGATAGTTTGAAGAGGGTGTGTATGGGACTAGAGAGGTCTGGAACCAATGCCTTAGATCCAATAGGTGAGGTCACCGTACCTGTAGGGACTAGAGAGGTCTGGAACCAATGCCTTAGATCCAATAGGTGAGGTCACGCGTACCTGTAGATGTATCGTTCGGTGAAAATAATATATTGCCTTTGTTCTGGTCAGAAATTGCCTATCCCGTCTGGACATGAATTTTTCTTTCATGGGACTTACAAATGCATATACTAGATTATGAATTACATTTGTACCGTGGGTTGTAGTGACAGTCCAGAATTAGCCCCGTCAAAAAATAATCAGATCTGATTTAATCGGAGGCCAGCAATTCAAAAACACTCACTTTCGCCTCAGGGTATATGTCCAAAAGTTGTTTGTATATGGTACAAGCCGGATGTCCAACCGTAGCCAGATACCCGTCGAAAACAGATTTCACCAGTTCCTCCAAAATCTGCCGTTTCTTAGCTGTTTTGGTTGTTGTAAAGATCTTCAGCCACACATCAACGTGCTCAGGATGATTTTGTACGATTTCGGATGAGTGATAGCAAGGGCTGCGGTACAATATTTCCAATGCTTCCTGCAAACTTTTTGTCCCGGTTCGTTCCACACCAACTCCAATAACGAGGATTGGGCTGTTTGATGTCATAGAATTGGTGCCTTAAGCTGGAACAGAAGGAGCACATATTCTGACGAGAATATTCGATTACAAACTGCTCTCGACGGATCTAGTTGCCTTCCTATAATGCAATGTGTGGTGGGCAGGAAAATAAATATAGATAAGGTCATACTTACCAAGGCCGTAAAAAGTGGCTTAGCTGTTGTCAAAATGCATTTAAATAGCAAAACTTATTTTCGTAAATCCTAATTTTTAAAAATTCAAATTTCTTACAGAGGACTCAGTCACGTCGTATGTTGATTCACAGGGCAGCAGCTCACCGACTGCAAGCAATTGCGTGTATTTTATATTTTGGCACTTGATCTGGTAGCAGAATAACTGAAATCTGTAAATTTGTATAAAACGGAAAGATGGGTAAAACTGATTTTACCCCTTTCATGAATGGCTAACCTATTATGCGTCCGGACTTCTTAGTTTGGTTGAAAATGAGGGAATTTGGAGTATGCATGACGGGTTCCAGAATCGACTTATTTTTGAAAGCGTCGCCGGATTAATTTCCTCGTGCATGGTAGTCGGTTTTGAAGTATCCCGGCGACCATTTTCTGTTCTCTTGATGTGAAATCGGTGTGTACTAAGTGATGGAAAAATCACATGCCCCTTTCTGGAATCCCCGCCGACTGCTCATTTGTCGGGACACCCACCAAAAGATGTGGTGCCCGGAAATACGCACACATGCATCGTTCATGTATTGTCTGATACATTAGTGGCTCCGTTCGTCACTTTCAATTTACTGGGTGCTTGCGATTTACTGCAAATGCGCTTGGTGTCGATGTCATGAAGATGAACGAAAACATGAAATCTGCAGAATTTGAGTAGGCTAGTCAGATAGGATCAACCGAAAAACGGTCGACGAAGCGTCTAATTTGGGAGTACCAGTAACAGAGCTGGGGAGAAAGCTGATTAGGTGTTTCAAACGTCTGTATGCTGTCTGAAAATAACTTTGCACAAAATAACTTCAAAATCCTCTTGATCACAGTTTTCTTGAGTGAGTACCAACAATAGAGCCGTCCGACATACAGTTTATACCAGCCTTTGTGAAGAAAACGTGTATCTCATGACTTCGATCAAAGAGCACATGATAAGAATCGTTCTTACGATGAACCCTAGTCTGACTGCATGCAAATCGCACCCGCAGCAAATCCACCGATTCTTTTTCAGATTTGTGAAAGCAGTTTAGCTTAATAAGATGGATATCGGACCCTCTAAATAAGGAGATGTTTACAACCATTTGGTTAGGAATATCTGTGACTTGTACTGTAGTCGAAGCCGTATGTTTCAGGTGAAGTTATTCTCCAAGAGAAAACCAAAAAGTGCGATAGAACCGTGTCAAACACGCTAGGAATGATCAGAATTACGCGTCCAAAGAGTTCATAATGTTCAATAACAGTTGAACGGTTGCTATTCAACCACTGGTGACTGGTCGGCAGTGTGGTGAACTCACCTGAAAAAGACGCCTTGCTGCAATTTTCACCACCTGCCTTTGTACAGTTGTGTGCGAAACGGATAAAAGTTTCGGAATTCAGATACTGCGCAGGTGTTAGGGTTCATGATTGCAACAGTGGGGCTACATGCTCAAAAGTGGTCTATACTGAATATAAGATTGGCGAAAACTCGAGGACTGTCTTTATCTAATGAACTTTAAGAACGAAATCGGTCCAGGGCTATAGAAGAGCTTTCGGCAACTTTGTGAGTTACGCCTACACAATGTTTTGCGATATATGGAAGGTTTCAGCAACCTTGAGAGTAGTATATTGCCTCGGCACATGTATCGCGATATCTCGAATAGCGTGGCAACTGAAACATGGGGCGGCCTGGTGCAGCACATTTAGTTGCTTGGAAACATCATAAACGATAGATTCAGTTGAGATTCAGTTGAGCTTCCTGCTACTTTCCGCAATTTGCCTAGGTGTGTGACCGGTCAGCCGATCATGAGCAAGATATCGGGGCAATCGTAAAAGTGGTGTACATGTTGAGGTTAAAAGGATCGCGAGAGGATATATGCGACTGAGCTGACTAAATCTGCAGAAAATTCAGACAGCTACGTGCCTTCAGTCCGAGTCTAGCCACCGAACTGCAGATAATGTCATAGCGATTCAACCACTGGTTGAATTTTGAGAGCCGGATATCGGAAACCATACGTAGAAAAGTCATACTCCAGCAGCTACTGCATTCAGGCATCAGAAGCGTTTCGGTCGATTTGCAGACCAAAGGGCTAAGGATCAAAAAGATAATCACAATAGGTTTGTTTGGTCTTCAGAAAAAAACCACGTGGATCGCAATTGTTTTGGCCCATCGTCCACTCAGCAGATGCAGTAAAAATTTCTGACTTGTAACAGTAATTGTGATAGACTTTCTGTTGTTTACTGTCATCAAAACTATTATCTTGCGACTGTGTATGCAGTGACGATGATGGTGGAGTTACGCCAAGATTACGATGGGGGTTTGGGGGGGGTAGAAGGCAGTGATGACTCAGTCCACAAAAACAAATTTGCTTAGTTGGGGCCTCAGTGCATTTCGTTGTTAACCCAGTTTCTGTTTTCTGGTTTAAAAAGATAAACAATAGCACTTATTTAGCCAATAATATTACAGTAATATAGTACTATTATTATATTATTCTATTATTCTATTCTATTATTCTAACCTGATCGACGTGGGCTGCATGTGTCTTGAGTGTGCGAACGTGCATATCACATTCAGATGGCTGGCAGTGGGGTAAACGATGCATACATGGTACGTCAGCTTAGACGAGGTCGCCAAAGGTCCTACTTATGCTTCAGTATTCGGAGTGCTCTGATCGATCTGTCGGCGTAGGGTTTGGCATAAGCTTCACGGCCTTCCAGAAGTCAGATTTTCTGTGGAGGCTGCCGTACACCCGATCCACTCACAGTTCTGTGACTCGTTCTGTGGATGTATGCCAAAAAATCACTCAGAACGTCGTGGCTGATAATGGAACTTCAAGTGTATGTGAAATGTGGGGTGTCTACTCAATGTGTTCGTCTCAGATAAATGTGGCCGCACACGGAGGGCTAAATTGGTACTGGACGGAGAAGAATCTCTGAAGTTTTTGTGATTACCCGAACAACCATTAAGCCATAAAGAATACTCGGCCGTATCACTGGAGGAACATATCAATCAGTTTGTCAAGCTCTGGTATTTGAAAACCGCCAGTTTCCTGAATCTATATGAAAGCCAGTTAGCTAAGTTACTTGATCCAAGAGCCCAGCCACAGTAAGTCTGTTGTATGAAGGGCCCTTATATTGCGGAAACTAGTTTTAATTACGTACCAGTAGCATGAGCAAGTAAATTAACGCAAAGCTATTTAGTAAGCTGACTGGACTCGGAAGTCGTGTACGCGCGTGAGGACGAAATTTTGTGGCGTATTGGAATGCAAAACTACTGAAGTTTTGTTTTTGTTTTGGGGTTTGTTTACCAGGTCAAACTGACAGGATCACGAACAAGGTACTCAGAATGACGTGTTCCAAGTTTTCTCGAGGTTCTATACGGATTAACCTGAGAACGCTTTAGATAGTTTAAAACCGAGACTGGAAGACCGAATGTCAAAAAAGGATGTAGCTCAAGCCAACACGACCGATAATACTGTGATAGCCAGATCAGATGAGAAGGTCATATGTTTGCCGGGTAGTGTGCAAACTGAGCAGAAAGGCAACCCAAATCAGTCGTGAGTCATGTTAAGGCCAATGGGTGTTGAACAGTAGTTGGTACTCTATCTAATTGACGCAACTGGATCTCAGCTATTTTCTGTTCTCAGCTCTTCACTAGGAAGTCCTGTGTTCTGAAAAATCCGACCTTGTGTTCATGTATTGAAAGGTGGCACTGAGACCATTGTTCAAAACGCCATAAAAGCTTATTTAAAACCCTGGGATACGCGGTTGTTACTAGACTATTACATGAGAGCACAGATCAAAGAAATAATCGTTCACGCTAACGCAAGCCAGGATTTTATGTGGCTCTGTAAATCCCTGCGAAAAATGATGGTGTAAAAGGAATCCATTTGCAATCTATGAAGTTCCAAAGCCAGCAGCAATCTGTGGAGCGTGCTGCAGTGTCTGCACGGCGTGAAAGTTTGGAACAATGTATTCACAGAAAAACATAGAAGCGGGTGGGACAAAGCAGACCTTGACTGTAGAAAATGATTTGCTAATTGTTGGGGTGCGTATTATGGCAGATTAGAGTACAGAGGGATGGTAACTATATCAGGGATTCACAAAAGTCATGCGTTAGCGAATCCAGTTGAAGGTGTTCACCTAATGAAGTATTTGTAATCCGACTGATTGACGCATATCCCCTACCACATCAGTGCTTGCTACATACCGACAAACTCCCTATCTTTCTCATTAATGAAGACCAGTTCAGTGCGGCGGAACCTGCACTTAATTTATGGTTTTAACAAAATGTGTGACAACGATGTTGTGGACAGGTGTCTGGGTACGTTTTCGGTAAATTAACTGGCTCATTGTCACAACTGGTACTCGTGTCTGAAGACAAACTATCGTGAGCTTGATAGACGGGCACAAGCTATCTGTCGATGGCCGTGCCTTCATTTCTGAAGGCACGACTCATCTCATCGTAAGTACAAACAAATATCATAAGCAGATGAGAGTGGGAGTAAGAATACCTGACTTTGACTCCAATAATATAGTTACATAAGTGCTCGAGTTTGCTGTAAGAATTTAATATCCCAAATAGACGGACAGTCTTCCTCTGAAGGTGGTGCCTGAAGGAAATTTCACCATCTGTTTCAACAAGAAGATTTGATGAACGGAAAATCGTCTCCACAGGTGTAACTTTTACGTGGAGAGATTTCATAGGAATGAAGAGTCCCAAATCTCCTTGGGTTTCAAAGCTCTCCCCTGAAAAGGTCGGTTTTGACGAAACCAGTACAAGAATCAGTTCTTCGGACGAAAACCACTCAGTTCCAGATGTAAGACACCGTTTCTAGGTTTTCGGTGCCCTAGTACTG